CTTTTGTGAAGTCAAGGTACGATAAAATTGAATTACTAAAAACATGAAATAAAAATAAAAACAAAATATAAGCCCAATTATTTTATTATTAGTTTCAATGGACACAAAATTATTATCAAGTTTCTACAAAACTTTCAAAAGCGTTTTTTTCTGTGTCCATACTTGACTTGTGGAAGATCAGTAACAAACAATTTGAACCTAGCACTGGTTTGAGACCCACACTTCTAATAGTGCTGGTTTCCTCCATCATCCTTCCACTTGGAATTGGTTTAAGGTAATGTATCTGAAAGCCTGAACTATTCTTTGCTGGGTAGAACTATCCAACTTACTGCAGGGCATTTAGCATCCTAGCCGCAGGACACTAAGAGCCAGTGGCTTCACCTTTACCAGTTATTGTCCAAACCAACACCCTTCCCACCTCCTACCCCTCCACCCCCATACTCATTTCTAACTGCTGGTGGGGAGGGTCAGTAGCACTACAATTCAGAACCATTGGGGGTTAGGGTTCTGCCAGCTGCTCAGTAGTGTTTACAGTAGGCGCCATGGTTATAGGTCTGGGGAGGATTTGAGTCTTAGTCCCTGTTCAGAAAAACTAATCAGCAGTGGTCATGAATATAAATTGAAGGGTGGGAAAAAATCCTTCCCAAATTAAGTCTGTTATTTTGTTTCCCACACATTTACTGGATTTTGAAGGGGGTGATAGTGGGGAGAAAGAGTCAAATGTTACCTCTGGGATGTTACAGAGAAACTAATTGGTTGTTAAGATTTATATTATTAGCTGGATAGTGTAGCCTTTTATCAAAGTGCTGGATACATTATTGCCATCACAGCTAGTTTCTCTTAACTCTTCTAACTCACTTTCTTGCACTAAAATATTTTGCCTTAATACTTTGCCCCTCCTCCATTTCCACATTCTTACCCTCCTCAGTATAAGTCTTTTTGACCTTACTGGCACAGTGCAATGCTATGGCTGGGCATATGTCCAAGGGGGAGGAATAAACAGCAGCAAAAACTAGGATGTAGGGAGTTTTCTTCCTACCTTGGGTACTTAAGAAAAGGAGAATATTCATAAAAGATATGTTGATCATTTCCTCCTTCCTTTGACTTACCAGGTTACCAAGTTTATTCCCCATGCATTGTGCCTTGCAGAATTCACATATAAGAAATTCGTTACTTGTGCCACTTCAAGAATGACCATGTTATCTGAACACAGATATTTTTATAGTAGCTAGAATGTGCAGAAATACTTCTAAATCCTTCATCTAAGGAGGACTTAATGTCCTTTATACTCCAAAGGTTTCTAGTAATTTTCCTACAGATGAAGGAAAAGAGATTTCAGATATCTTGCTTGACAAGATAACACACTGCTGGTGTGTCCAAAGGCAAGTTCAATTCTGGTCCAGTTCAATTCTAGCCCTACTTCAGAGTTGAAGATTTAAACTTCATCCATATCTTTTTGAGCCACCTGAATTTGTAACACAAAAAGGAAGCATCTTTTATTGTGTAAGCAATCTGTGTTACTCATTTTCTTGTCTCCTCATCCAGCCAAAACATACTTGAATCTCTAGATTGAACTGGCTGCTCAAGATTCTTCCAACTGGGAATAACGTGCAGTTCAATTGAACACGATGAGACTCAGGACTTGAAATTCTGGCATTGGCGTGGCTACAAGGCTAGGTCTGGGCTTTGGGAAAATGTTTATCTTATAATGTCCAATGCTCTGGCAGACTAGAATTCTTTTCATGTTTCCTTTTCCTTTCCTCTCCTTCCTCATTTTCCTTCCCAAACCCATGCTGTATAGTTTGCACTGTTAGGAAGGTGTTGAATTTGGGGATTAAAAGAAGTGATTCTAGAGAATAGGGAGGAAAGAGGGACAGTAGAGTTAGCTGCAGCTACCTTTATCCCTTTTTTTTAAACTTTGGATTTTCAGTTGGAATTAGTCACATACTCCCTCTTTAGGTTAAATTATTTTTGAATTTTTAAAAAACTCAGGAAGCAGGGTGAACATAGATTTAGAAGCAGAACAGATAGCTACTGTTAACAGATGTTAATAACTTTAACCATGGGGTTGTTTTAACTCTGTTAGAAAAGAAGTGTCCAGTGAAGACTTTGACTTGTTGCTCCTTTTTAATACTACAGAAAAATAATTTTCATGTTCTCTTATTCTTTTACTGGCAAATTTGGGTAGTAAGATAAGGAATACACTTTCCAGTTTCAGTCCTATCGAATAACATATTACTTGTTATTCCAGTTATTCCACTGGCTCTGGTTTCACAATTCAAGAAATATGGAAGTGATGCAGAAAAAAGACAACAATGGGGTCTGATGCAGGGTATAACCAACATCAAATTCCTGAATGAACTAATTTAGTGTTCTAAATTAAAATACACTCTTCCATTCCAGAATTGTTAGTGGCAACTCTTAATTCAACCAGAGAATGGAAGGCTTATACGCATTCCCCTTGCCAACTCATAAAGACAGGAAAACTACACGGTATCATTCAGACACATTTAATACCAACTGGGAACTTTAACTGTTGCACAGTATCAGTCAAATTCTGAGCACCACGACTTGAGAACTGGAAATCTTGGAAAGAGTTTAAAGAGCCACAATGATTATTAATAACCCTTAGAAGTTGTAGAACTGGGCAGATAATTACAGGATGAATTTAATAGACAGAAATACAGAGTACTTTAGAGGAACAGAAAAATAAAACCCTATGAACATAAGTGAAAAGGCTTTGAGGAAAAATGTGAAAATTAGTCCGAACCAGTCATATAGTACAGATGTTTTAGTATTTTTATTATTAAAAACTCCAAAATTTGTAGAGTACATGTAAGGAAATTATATTTAAGAAAAAGGCAGTCATCCCCTTAGTGGTTCATACAATTATTTATTAAGCATGTATGTGCCAGACACTTCTGGTTGCTGGGATAAAACAGGGGAAAAGGTAAGATTTCTACCTTCACGGAGGTCGTTAAAGTGTGGTAAAAGACAGAGCTAGTACCTTTAATAGTCTCTAGTTTGTATTCTGTAGCCAACTTTGAATACAGCAAATACCGAGTGCTCCTTGAGGTAGGGATCCTATTTTTACATGTTGGATCCCATTCCGTGCCTAGCACAGCACCTTGTAAGCAATCAACAGGGATTAAGTGGTAAAAATAGGCCCTAGAAGAGCTAAAATCGAAAAAAGTAAACACTTGTCTGACCATCAAATATGTCAGTCGAAATTCCCAATTTTTTCTTCATAGTAATAAACAAATATTTGCTAATTTATTACGTGCGGAACAGTTTGCAACAACGCTTTGTGTATAAAAGGGATGATGGGAATGGATTCAAATTGCACATCGTGATAGACGGCGTTAATATCTTGACCAGGTGGACAGCCCTTCCTCTGTGAGGTTTTCTTTTCTTTCTTTCTTTCTTTTTTTAGCGGAAAGAGAAAAGGCTTATGCGGAAGCTACCGCGGTGGGACGCATCGCTAATCTAGGGTCGCAGACATCAGCTCGCGCGTCCCGAGCTCGCGCGGGCAGCTCGGCGGGCGCGGCGGAACAGCTCCCACCCGGGGCTTTCACCGCCTCGGAGCTCGGCGTCTCAGAGCGGACGAAGCGTCCCCCCAGAGGAAGGACTGGGAGCCGCAGACGCCCCTCCGAGAAGTCACCGGCCACTCGCCCCACCTCGGGGTCCTGTTCCTTTTGGGCTTTCTCTGACTATTCGGGCAGGCGCTCCAGAGCTGCCAGTGGGCGCGACTTGGAAACCAGGCGTTTCGGGTCCCCGACTGCGTCCCCTCGCCCAGCCACAGCCTAGTCACAGCTCAGGGACTTTGAGGCGCCCGCGCCCCTTTGTCGCGGGATCTCTCGACCAAGCAGGCCGGACGCCCAGGCCTCGCGGTATCGAGCCTCTGTCCGCCCCGCCTCCTCGCCCTCCAGTCGGCCCCGCCCTCACTCTCACCCCTCCCCCGCTCCCGCCTGGCTTCCCCGGCAATCTCCTCGCGCTCCCGGCCCGGCACGCGCGCTGCGCCCGGCCGCCGCCGCCGCCACCGCCGCCGCTGCCGCCGCCGAGCGTTCCTCCGCTGCGCCGGGCTTCTAGCTCGGGCCGGAACCGGAAGTCTGGGGGGCGGGGCCCGGCGGAGGCCAGGAGACCGAAAACGCGGCCGAGCCCGGAGCCTGGAGCCGGAGCCAGAGCCTGGACCAGAACTTGGCCGCCGCCTGCACCGCCGCCGCCCGCCGCCCGCCTCCCCTTCCCCGAGCTGCCGTCGCCGCCTCGGCCGCCACCTCCGCCAGCTCGGCCGCCAGTGGTCCGCGGACTTTGGGTGTCCGGGTTGAAGGTCGGTCCGGACGTCGGACCCAGCTCGGTTCTCGGACTGTCTGGGCGGCAGCGGACGCCGTCGCCGCCGCCGCCGCCGCCGCCGCCTCCTCCTCGTCGCCTCAGCCTGGCGTTTTGTTCCGAGAGACCCGAGAGGCGAGCAGAGCTGACAGTGATTTTGACAGTGATTTAAACCCGCTTTTGTTGTTGTTGGCTTTTCGTTGTTTGGTTTTGTGTGTTGTTCGTGTGTGTGGCGGTTTTTCCCCGTGGTGCATTTTATTTTTTATTGTTGTGCTCTTTTTTTCTTCCCTTTTTTTTTTTAAACCTCGTGAACCTTTTTTTGGTCGGGTCTTCCGAATATGTTTTATGACGGTTGATTTTACACCAGGAGGTTTGTCTCCGAGGAAGACCTAGGGAACTGGATATCTAGCGAGAACTTCCTACGGATTCCCCGGCGCCTCGGGAAAATGGGAGCTGCTGCAAAGTTGGCGTTTGCCGTCTTTCTTATCTCTTGTTCTTCAGGTAGGTGCAGGGAGCGCGGCGCGGTGGGGCTGCTGCTGCGGCCGCGGCTGCCGCTGCTGGGGGCTACGGCTGTTGTTGGGTCGGTGAGCTCCAGTGGAACCTGGGGAGGTTGCCCCACACCCTGAGCCCCTCGGCTGCCAACCCCCGTGTCTGATTGTGATCTGGAAACCTCCATGAATGTTCCTCCTTTCGAGTTGGGTTGGCGAGCTGATAAGAGTGAGTGCTGTGTTGTGGAAGTGAGAAAGTCATGGTTTGTGGCCATAACACTGGATGACAGCGCTGGTTGGGTTGCAATTAAGCCACAAATACCACAAGTGACAATTTATGCAAAGGTTGAAAACTGAAAGGAGTATTCCGAAATGTCATTTAGTGTGGGCTCCTCCAAAACAAGGGTTGCTTTTGTCGTCTTTTAATTAGTCCTTCACCGGTGAATATCACGACATAGATCAAGTCAGTTGTTACTTAATTTTGACTGTGAGAAGCAATGCATCCTATCATTAATTCAATCTGGGTCTCCCTTCACGTTTTCTTCAACTTTAGTGTCCAACAGTGTTAAAAATAGTTGTTGTTAGAGTATTAACTATAACCCAGTGCAGAAGAGGTATGCCGCTTGTGTATTGGTAATGTGCTGGCTTTCAACCACCATTTGTGTTTCGGGCATAGATTTTGCTTACCTGCGGAATACTTATTTTAAACGCTTTGTATTGAAGCATTGTTTTCGGTTTAGAACTGCCCATGTGAAATTGTTCTTATTGTTAAATATGATATACTCATAAAATAGGTTTTAGCCCAAGGTTGGAGGAATAATCTGGCCATTTTATATTTGAAATTTTTGATTTTGTGAGGACGTTCTATGGTTGCAACCAGTGGTTGGTAAAACTAGTCTTTTGTATTTGAAATTTTATAAATAAATACTGCATCTAGCTCAAAGGTGTGCGAATGTACATAACAGGAGAGTTACTTCCATAGATGAAAGAATTTAAGAGTCGCAATGGATCTATTTATCATAAAATTTAATATTCAGTTACGAGGTTGTGACATAGAATTATAGGGGGGAAAAACGAATTGACAGGTTTCATGGCCATGTCTTTATCTTGTTTGCTACAAGGAAATTAGAGGGTGGCAGTCGTCTTTGTGTACCTTTGTGTGATGTGCCTGTGTGTATGCGTGTGTGTGTTTGTGTCCGTTTTCCCCACCCCCCTTTTTAATAGAATCTTTTGTAATGTATAGAATTTTGCTGAATGGTACATTTCCTTGTGGTTAATAAATGGATAAAGTCTAGTCTTATGTCTGTAGTGGTATTGATCAGTTCCGGGTGGGCTGAATGTGTTGTGAAATGGCGATCATTGCCAGAGATTAACCAAAAGAATCATGTCTGTTTAAATGGAAGAAGGAACATGCTTAAGGCAGGCTGACAGTTCTTTTTGTGCAGGGTTTGGGGAGGAAGCTTAACAATGGTGTGTCTGAAATGAATGAAGGCCTTGATAACATTAAACCTCTTGCTTTTGTGACATGACTTAACCATGTAGTTTTTAATCTTTCCAGTAGTACTCTCTCTCTGCCCCTATATGTTCTGGCTGGTGAACTCCTCTTGTTTAAATCCCTTGTTCTGATCTCCTGCCCTTGAGGAGGGGCATCATGGCCACTGACCAAGGAATTGTGGACATTATTCCCTCCCAAACCCACCTGAGTCGTATTAATTGGTGAAAGAGGTTATTCTTGAGTGGTCTCAAGGTATTACTTCTGGAAAAGCAGGCTGTTGCTACAGATCTTACAGCTTCCTCTGCTTGGTTTGGTAGTAAAAAGAACTAAGCATTAGTTTCTGTGGGATTATTTTCACTGGGCCAGGAAGTTAATAGCTAATATTTTGAAATAAAGTAATTTTGTTTTTATAGAGTATATAGGTATTCCACTTCTGTTAAACTAATATTAAGTATTGTTGTATAGGCTTTTTTAAAGGATCATTTTTAGTTGAGCTAAAATATGTGATTCTATTGAAGATAATTCAAGTAATCTTAAAGGCCTTAATCCATATTTATACATGAAGATTTTTAGTACTTAAAATGTCTGATTTTTTTAAAGGGCTTTTGTTATGAATCAAATGCACTCTAAAAAGGGTTATTGTGTTTCTCCAACTAATTGATTTTTCTATGTAATACGTAATCTGGCATGCTGAAAGCATTAGCGTGGCTATTTTTATGAGAATTTTAAAATTTCTCAAGTTGTCAGTTTGGTTTCTAGATATTTGATTTTTTAAAAATTTAAACCAAATGGGAAACAGTTGTAAAGAACAGTTTTATTCCAGGTATTTAGGATGGATGTTTACTGTTTCCTTTACTATTTTGTGGACTTTGATTTTTCAATTTCCATCCCATGATATGTATTCTTGAGACTGATTACGCAGACCATTCCTGTAGGATATGACCAAGTATATAATTTCCTCCTGTCTTTCATTCCAAGGAAACATTTTGAGTTTTGCCCTTACCCTGGAATGCCTTCATTTCCCTCTGATTTTGAATCTTTTCTTTCCTCTTATCCCTTCTCAGATTGTTTCAAAACACAGATCTTCACAGGTTTTTCTTTTTAAAGTATGGTGGTTAATTTGTATCTTTTCCCACAGTTTGTGAAAGTGTGAGGATGAGTGTAACACTTGCCCTAGTACTCAGGTTTATCCTACCTAGAGTGGTGCAGCTGTTGTGGTAGTTGAGTTGCACTGAAGTAAATTGAGAATTCCTTTGGATTCTGTGGGACCTGTAGCAGTATGGTCAATATATCTGATGAAATAAGAAATGGCTAAAACTGTTTTCATAATAATACTAAGATGTTATTTGCCTTTTTCACTCTTATTATTTCTCAAGGGTACAGTGAGTTTTCCAAGCCTATGTGATGTGTGATATCTTAAAAAATTCAGTATATTAGTATATATGAGAAATAGCAGGACATTAAAGAGATTCGTAAAATTGTAAAAAAAAAAAAAAAAAAAAAAGTAATGTTGCATTTCCTTTAGTTCAGCTAGGCAAGTATGTGTGTGTGTGAGAGAGAAAGAGAGAGAGAGAGAATGAGAATTTGTGGTTGGAGGGGTAGTTGGCAGTACAGAGAATCTTCTGGGAGTCTTCTGAACTTTGGCTAACAAGTGATAGATATTAAATACTTTGTTTTCTAAAAGGTAGAATCTCTTAAATATTATCTGTGATCAAATTCAAATATAATATATTGAAACATACAGAGAAGAAGAGAAATACAACCACCCTCTCCCACCATTCATTTTGAGTTTTTTTCTATTTGTGATCTAAGTCAATAATTCTTAAGCTGGGATGATTTTTGCCTCCCCCAACCTCCCACCGAAGCGATATTTGGAGACATTTTTGGAGATAGTGGAGAGGGGCAGGTGTGCTACTGGCATCTAGTGGGTAGAGGGCAGGGATGCTGCTAATCATCCTTCAATGGCAGGGCAGCTTTCCACAACAAAGAACTATCTGGCTCAAAATGTCAATAGTGTTGAGGTTGAGAAACAGTTCTAAACTTTTAATTTTTAAGAGAGTCGGTATATTAGTAAAAGGGCTCTGCTTCCCATCCCTCAAAGTCAATAATCTAAATCTTATGAGTACATGGTATTGATGATCTCCAGGTGACCTTGCATTAAAATTTTTTATTTTTTCATCATCTTTTAAAAGTAGAACATGATTAAGTTAGAGAAACTGACTATAGGTGTGCACATTCTTTCATCCAAAATAAAAATATTTTGTTGACTGTCACGAATAAACTGTCTAATCACTTGTTTTGATAGAGTGCTCATGAAGACTGCATGTTCATGACTATGATGAATGATTGGTCAAGATATCAAGTTTATTTGCTTTAGATTCAGTTTCTTTTTTGCCATAATTATCGTCTTTAAGGATATTTCTTCTTATCCTTATTGAAATCACTGTGCTGCATGGTGGCGGTGTGTGTGTGTGTTTCAGATACCTGAAAGTTTTCTAAGTATCATATGGAAGAAATATGTTCACTATTATATGTTCCCTGAATGGATTCAAGGTAGAAATTTGGTCTTTTTTAAAGTATATTTCTTTTGTCTAGCTAACTTTACTTTCAAGAAACTTTAAAAGTGATTTCTTAATTGCATAATTTTCTCGAGAATCATTAGCTGGGTTTTGGTTACCGTTTGACTCATTTAGGATACAGTAAGTAATATTTTAAGATCTTGCAGACCTGTGCCTTTTTTAAGGTTAAATCTTGACTGTAATTAATAAGTGCTTACCTTGTTTTGAACTCTGATTTTAAGGAAGTTAACCCAGCCAGCCAAGATAAGAATTGCAGTGAAACTCTAAACAAATTAAGTAGCACTACACCATTAAGAGGAAAATTCTGAAGTTACCTCCCACAAAAAGTAGGCAGATAAACTTCATAGCGTCTCTGTAATGCACCTCCCATACTCTCCTCTCTGGTACTACTGACATTTTCACCTTTTGGGTTCATCAGGCTCACTGTGAGAAGTGAAGCATAAATAAACCAAATGAGATTTTAATAATCTCTAAATTGTTCATTTAGATTCTAAGACTTTATTTTGTTGCATTTTTACTTTTGTAAATCCTATTCTTATTTTCTCGTCTTTGATGTTCCATAAATCTGTGATTTAAATTTGTCTTTTCATGTTTTCGTATGTTGCCAGTTGTCATAGTGTCTCTCAGATCATAGGTAAGGTTAGTTAGCAACTTTGGATACTAGGGTCACTGATATGCCTTCACTTTTTGCTCTCTGTTCTATAACTCATCATTTCTTTCATTCCCTTTCATTATAGTTCCCTTTCCACTTTTCTCCCTTCTTTCTCTATACCCTTTTCTTCCTGTATCCCTTTTGTATTTCTCTATACCATAGGCTGCTTGCTTGGGAAAACTCAGTTGTTGCTTAGCATCAAGGGTGGCTCAAGAGGGCTCACCCATGGTTTAAGTGAAAATGGATTGAATTTAGAATACTTGAGAATTGACCACATAGTCTTTTCTGCTATCTTTCATTTGTTGGTTTCTGGACTGCGACACACACGCTGGGAGTATTGTTACTCTTTTGGAATCAAATGGCTTGAACTTTATTTAGATTGCCCCCTCTTTTTTTTTAAATGTTAAGATTTTCCTTAATTCTTTGTTGTTTGTAAAAAGTCTCTCTTTTATTATTACTCATTCAACATTCAAAATTTGACCAGACCTGAGAGCATATTTATTGCCGCTGATAGGACCACATTAGACCTGCTCTGTGGTAGAGTTAATTCTGTTAGGTCTTAACAGTCA